ATAAACAAGGCACTAAAATGTACACCTAGTAGTCATCTTATTATGAATTCTTTGCTTGACTTTAGTCTCTTCCTGATGAAAATAAATATTATTAAACAGATCCTGCACCAAAAAATTCCATCATGAAACTAAGTTATATAATAAAGATCTCCTAATTCCTTAAATACATCTATATGAAGTACAAGGTCACAGTTCTGTAAACCAAATGGAGCAAAAATCCATTATTTGGAGGTGGGGGCAGTTTTCGGTATTTTCCACAATGCAGTTTAGTAAATTAATCTGCTAGAAGCAGAAACGGCTTTGGTACTAAATTAGAAGAGCTCATAGATTTCTGCACATACTTTGTGCAGACTTTGAAGTACTGTAGTAAGCTCCCCACTGAAGTGGCTGATCCCTAGGAGGACTACATGAATCTGCAGAACAGGTGATCCAACCCAATCAGAACCACCCAGATACACTGTAGATGAAGTAAGAGATCATGACTGGCAAGATTAACTTTGGTCCCCATCTGAAATAGGAAGGTCAAGTTAAGAAGGGCCACTTGTTCCCAAAGTATGTTTTATCTCTCCAATAAGGAATACCCAGTAAGCAGAGGAGGGGGTTGTTCTATTTGCCTAGATAGTGGGCCAACACACGACAAACTATTTGGTCCCCTGTATCTATCCCCAGTGTTAGTTTTACTACACTTCAGGTACAAACGTGGGGCAAAATTCTCATTTGTGTCAGCCTGGCCAGAGGTTTGCGTGGGCAGAGGAGCTCTGCTCATGCAGCTAACCACTGAGTCTGTCTTGCTGGGTCAAACTGCATCTCAGCTAGAAAAAAATTCTGCAGGACTCGACTCGCCACTTGTGAAGCAGAGTTCTAAACACGTATTTTACAATGGCCAGGAAAGAAAACTAAAGCTTGGTTGTTTGTGGAAAAACAAACCCGCAGCACAAAACTCTTTTGAGTATAGGAGCCAACAATATTCTGTAGACTTTAAAAACTGCAATTATACCGTCAACTTTAAAGCAGTTTATTTAGGAGTATTCCACCTGATATCAGCAACAATACCCTGAAGTATATGTCTCACAGCTGCAAGGCTGCATTTCAGAATATGAACACCAATTGTTACCATCAAGAGTACACTGGAGTATATGAATGTAAAACGAGCCTGCAACAAAATGTTGTGACTCTCTCCCCTACCTGCAGCCCAGAATGTTGTAAGCCTTTAAGGACCCTTACAAGGGTTCCACAGCAACATTAGAGTACCATAAGCCTCAATCTTCCCTTTTCCCACCTACTTAAAAATAAATTCTGCCCACTTATCTGTGGATGCCCTACTAGAAGTAACTTGCTTTGCTTTTAGACAGAATTATACACTAGATTTTTCAAATACTGTACCAATCTATTTACCGTATTTGCAGATCACATTTAATAGATGCCACAGCACTCCCAGTTGTGAAATTTTTACGTATTTTCAATACGTACCTTAGATTTGCAGAATTGCTTCCAAAAGCACACTGAAGTAGTACAAACCAATAAAAAGAAGTCCTAGGCATTGTTGGTGGCGATAAAGCTGTATAAGCTAATCTGCATTGCGAGAGTACACAACAGTGATAGTGGACAGAATCCAACAGGCCTGGAGTACCAGGAAAAAAAGTTTCACTTGCATATTTCACCTTGCTTAGGGTACAGGTGTGGCGTTAATGGAGTTTTGGAAATGATGTGATGGATTTAATCACTGAGGACACCAACAGCTTATGGCGATAGCACCCTTTTAGCGACAACATACTCTGTTTCTACATTTAGGCTTCATTTTCTTGGGCACAAGAAAGGGCATCCATACACACCCAACACCCCCCCCCCAAATCTTGGCAAGTGGGGATTCCACATGTTGGCGTTGCTACTTGAGAAAAGGTGCAAGGGTTTGGAGGACTGAGCCAACTAGATGAAACAATGTTGAGAACTACTCAGGTAGTAAACTTTAGGACCATTCCCTGATAGTTGTTCTGTGCCTAGCTTGCTCTCTCTGCATTCATCCCGTGGGGTTTGCAGACATAGCTGTCAACTTACAGATTTGAAAATAAGGGACCAGCAGGCTCGAAAATAAGGGATCAGCAGCCAAAATAAGGGATCAACAATTACTTTTATAAAATACATATTTTGTTGTGTGCAAATGGCTTTAGATACCTATTTGGTCCATAAATTACCATATAGCATATATTCAACACCAAAAAACAGCAACAATTTGTTGTTGACAAAGCAAGCTGGACATAGAAAGGGCCCCATTACCTTCAGTACCTTATTTAAGAGACATCATCAATAAGGGACAGCAGCGGGACATGGCGCTGGAATAAGGGACTGTCCCGCCAAATAAGGGACGCTTGACAGCTATGTTTGCAGATGGGTATGAAAACATGGTAGACTCGGCACCAACCCTGGAAAAGAATCTACCACTTAAACACTCTTCCGTACACCCTTTCCACCACCCCGTTCCTAAAATGCAGAATTCCATCCTCCCTACCCCCAAACTGTTGTTATTTCTGCTCCCTGATCTCTTTAGTCTCCTATGCCAAATTGCCCTCATTACTGACCCTGACAATCCATCACTGGGTTGGCAAATACTTGGCCCACCCATAATTAAGAGGTGGGGTGGGTGATAGAGCCTGTCATTTAGGGCCAGTGCTTAGAGGTTTTGTCTGGCATTACCATTATATATTTAAAGCAGGCATGTCCTGTATAACTAGGGCACATTGCTCAAACACAGCACATTACAGAAACCCACACAGGCAAGCAGGACGTTGGGGGTGGGAGGAGCAATACTCAACAAATAGCTATTTGGAAATTTGACAAGTGTTAAATATGAAAATGGTATATAAGCATTCCAGCAGGCCTAAATAAACTTGTGACCCATCAAACAAAACACAGCTCACTAATAAGCCTCCTGTTTTTGCTGTTTACATGGAACCACAGAATTGGGGGCACCTGAAGCACACGGCAAGTCACAGCATCTGGCTAATTGCTGCAGTCAGCCTCATGGGTCACGAGTTGCAGAGACCTTAGCTGAAAGCTGCCATGATGTTAAGAAGCCTGAAATATACATGGACTTAAAGCAAAAAGTTATGAGTTATGATTTCAAATGGCTAAATAAATAGAGAAGTTCACAAGAATGCACATTTAACAACGATCTAACTGTAATTTTGTTAGGATATTTAAATGTTTCCACCAAATCACAGAGAGAACCGATTCTTAAATTTGTTAACCTCCATCAGATTTATCATAGCTCAGAATTATAAACTGAAAGCCATTCCATATATTTAAAGTTGGCTGATTAAATGTATGGTACAGTCCGATATTACTCAGGCCTAAGTTCCTTATGATGCAATCCTATACATCTGCTCAGAACATTCCCCTTACTCCTATATGCCTGCCCAAATCGTAGTCCTGTTACAAGAACTAAATCCCAAATGAAGGGGCATAGCATTGCACCCTAAGAGAGATTTTGTCTTGTGTTTCTTGAACAGGGCCTTTTTGCGTCTCATGGCAAACTACTTTTAAAACAGAGGGGAATTTCAAAAGCAGCTTGTGGTATGGCACAGGGCCCTGGAGCTTTAAAGGAAAAACCCTAGAAGGCTTGCCCAATCCCTTCGGGGTGATTAGGTAGCTCTCTGACTCTTAGCCTTACTTTATCCGGCATGGTAGATGAGAATACCAAACTTTTCAGGCCAACGGGCATACTTGGAAAATCGAGAAAGTGCTCTGCGCACCAATCACATAAAGGCTGTGTGGCGTGTGGCACAAAATGACCACCACAGCTAAAAGAGCAGGGAAAAAAGAAGAGCCCCTCAAAATGGTGTGAGAGCCCTGCCTCCCAATCGGGGGGGGGGGGGGAACCAACGACATTGGCCACCACCACATTTACGCAGAGACAGAAGCTCTTTGCCCCTCTCCTCTGACCAGGAACTGAACATGAAGAGCAAAGAGTCTCTTGTGGGTTTTTAAGGGACATTTTACGAGGACCTTGAACGGGTTCCACAGGAGGTACTGGTGGGCATACTGGTGTCTGTGGGTGACGCATGGGCACCCCTGAGAATTCTACTTGCAAACATTTATATTTCTCTTCACCGTATTGTTCAGGTCTCTAATGTTTATTTTCAGAACACTTGTCTGAATATTGATGAGGCTTTGGTTATTACCCCCACCCTTCACCATCTCATTCATATATACCAGTAGTTGTCCCTTGACATTTCTCAGTTCTGTATACTGTATTTAAAGAAACAAATACGAAGATTTTTAAAAATACAATCCAATTAAACAGTCTTAGTAAACAAAAAACAGATTATGGACCATCATATAAGAAGTTGTTTCACAATAATCAAACATTAAAACGGAATAAAGAAGCTGAACCCCACATGAAAAAATATCGAAAAACAAAAGTCAAGAATGTGTACCCTAAAACTGACAGCAACATCTCACAAAGGGAATATTGAAACTAGGCAATGAGAAGAGGAGATTCTGATTTGTTGAGCAGAAACTGGTCCATTAAATTTTAGATCAAGCTTCCTCCACCTTGGCCCTCCAGATGTTTTTGGCCTACAACTCCCATGATCCCTAGCTAGCAGGACCAGTGGTCAGGGATGATGGGAATTGTAGTCTCAAAACATCTGGAGGGCAGAGGTTGAGGAAGCCCCTTTTAGATGAACTAGTATTTTAGACAATAGCAAAGGGTTGTATTTCTCTTTGTTCATACCAGATCAATTAATCAGGGCTGTTTGTATTTGCAACTCAGCACATGTGCAGAAAAGTAGCAAAATTTTGTATTGAACAGAATTCAGAATTCTCAGCATGCCTTTAAAAAGAGGTCCTAGCCCTTCTCATGAAAAATATAACTTTGGTGTGTGGAGAATGCATGGTGAAATTTCTAAAGTAGGGGGGCAATTTAATATGAAGCACCAGGAATCAGGTGGCAGAACATTTGTGCTTTGCTGTAGCTCATTCCTTCTACCCGATTACAGCCGAAACAAAATGAATTGTACATGCTAAAGAAACACAAGGCACAATTCATACATCTCACAGTATCTAGATTTTCTTCTTGCAGAATTTGAATGTGGTGAGGAATTCATACAGTTTTATATCCAATATACCAGGAAACAACTCTATTTAGACAAAAGCAAAGAGGATGAAATGTTGAGTTCTACATATTATCTAAATAATAAGAATATAAATGACAGGGGAGGGGAAAATTCAAGGGAGAGAGTGTCCAATATAAAACTATTTTACGTGGTAACGCTGAACAGAAGACAGAAGAGGAATAAAAAAGAAATGATAAAGTAGTATTTTAAAAGTTCAGAATTTAGAATGTGAAAAAAATGGAAATATCTCAAGACTGGCAGCAAAATTGCAGTGCAACTTGTGTCCCTCTCCACCGAAAAATAGACACAGGAGCGGCAGTTGAAAAAAACTCCACTCTGAACTGCTGAGAAACTGAGGCTCATTGAAAAGGGAAATACTATTGGCATCCAAGGAGAAGGGGGAGCTGGGCAGGGGCTAAACCTAAACTACTATTTTCTGTAATAAAATATATGAACGCAGGCTAGTTTCTCTTTACTTCTGACAGCTAAATTCACTGCTGAGTTTTATGCTCTCTGCACTGTTTCATGTTAGAATGAAACTGCCTGCCACACACGCTTGTTTTAGGAATGGAGGATGGAGAATGTTATCTGGGTGCTAAGCAAAACCTAATGTCTCTTTGTAAATGAGGTCCAAACTGCTCCACCTCAGCTATAGAGATGTCCACATGGGTGACCCCTCTTTTACAGGTAGTAGTTTGTGATAATTTTGGCAAGGGCAAATTGTCACGCAGAGGTGAGCGCACATGCACCTTCTGAAATTCCCAGCTGCACACAGGAACAGGAACCCCATTCTAATTTGGACCAGACAACTCTAATATGCACCAAAGACACTAAAATGAGAAGTAGCCTAACATTTCCCCTCAAAATACTTTCAAAAGGGCTTGTGATTTCCTGAGGCTTGGGGCTGCAATTGCTCCCTCTTTTTTCTATTGGATTATGCTGGAATCTGCAATTATTTTTGCAGTGGTTTGAATTCAGTATTTAAGCTCTACACATGCATTAACTAACATAATTATTTTCCCTTTGGAAAATTATTTAAAATACTAAGTTATAAACTCATTTAAGAACCACAAAAATCTCAACAGTATAAGCACAGCCCTCTTTCCAGTTACCTTCCCATTCCCTTTCCCCATACTTCTGATAGTTTCTTGTTTGCCTGGGAATCTGTTAACTGTGAACCAGTGTGCACTTTATAAGATGTTTCATAAGATCTGTTCAACAGTTTGAACAGAGCTCCTCAATAAGAAGTTGCACTAAAAGATGCATTACCAAAATACACAAATTTTGGTTTTCCAGAATGAACATATTTGTGCCCCGTCTTATAGTCAAAGGAACACACCAAAAAAGACCTGAAGCGACTCAATTTCTTTGAGCTTGATTCTATTTGAGAGGAGTGAGGTAGAGCAAGGATTTCATGTCAGCATGTAAATGATCTGCACCTATGAATGGCAGATCTCCATCTCATTCCCCAAGTTGGTATTTCAGCACACCATCTTATCAACAGGAAAAAGAGGAAGACTTTATGGCTAATTCTGTGCAGTGCGCATATGCAGCACCATAAACCATGATGACTCCTTTTAGTTAATTCAGAGTAATTCCCACCACTGTACTCCAAACTCACAATTATATACTATTTAAAATCTCACCCTTTTAAAGTCTTACCCCTTTCCTTGACATACCAAGATGGGAGCGCTGAAAGCAATGACAAACGTATGGCGCTTCACCAACATTAAGCAACAAGCTTGTACCCTTAGTGTGGGAACCTTTGGTCCTCCAGTTGCTGTTGAACTACAACTCCCATCAGGCCTAGCAAGCATGGCCAATGACTAGGGATGATGCAAGTTGTAGCAGCAATGTCTGGACACCCAAATGTTCCTTATACCTGCCTGAAAAATTGACTATGCCTCCCCCTACTTTACTGGTAACCCTCTGCTACTGTAAATATTAAAGAGGGGCAGCTCTAATCCACTCAAGCTAGTTTTGCAACAGATTTGACAGCACTCTTAAGTAGCTCCAGGTCTCTGTCTTAGCAGCATCTGAAAATATTTACCTGTAAATCCAACTGAAAACCACCTGAAGCCCAATGAACACAGCAAGGTTGCCCCATTTTGAGAAGAAGAAAAAGCTAATATCACCATTTGCACTTATTAGTCATAACTGCCAAATCTACATATGAAATCGTGGAAATTCATGGTTGCTGCTTCATTAAAACAGAAACAAGCCTGCTTCCCCTTTGTCACTTACTTAGAGGGTGGTGGGTTCTCATTCCCTTGCCTCCCATCAAAGATGAAAACTCTTCAAGAGCTCAGTCACACATTGTGATGTTCAATGCGTTTGCCAGTTACCCATTCAAGGAGCCACAGCCACTCCCTGTGTGGTGGCAGATTATCGGCATTTGCCATGCGCACTCATTACATTTTTACAGGGACTTGCATGTAAAAATGCAAAGTGTTTAAATAGCCCCGAGTTACACAGTAAATCTGCACTTTAACCTCCTTACATTTGGTTGGTGCTCACTTCAGATCCCTGGCTCATGTGGACTGGGACCAAGAGATAGGCGCAGTACGGAGAGGGTGATCCTGTCATGCAAACTGGACCTGCATCGTACTAGATGGACAGGTGGCTCCTTCCTGACATGACGAGAAGCCAAGCAAGCTGAAATGAACCAAACGGAGAGGTGCCAAGTATCCAAGTGATGCTGCAATCCTGTATACACTTACTCTGGAGTACACGTGCACAGCTGCAAATCACACACAATGGTAATTTTCTTGATGCCTTCTTCAACCGCAGAAAAGTGGCCAGACAGTAGTAATTTTGCCCTAAATTATATAGCTGGCAGGTGAGCCATGCCCTATAGTGCAATCTGAGTGCAGCGTCATTAATGGTTAGGGGCAGGAGAGAAATGTGGTGGTGGTGAACTTCCCTTGTGGCCCAGAGAGCTAATCAATTGTTTGAAAGCTTTCCATGGCCTCTTCTGAAGCAGTTGCTGCTATGACGCTGCCCTTTCCCCACATTCTATTAATAAACGGAAAACGTATTATGTCCTCTGGCTCAGTGATGCAGCTGAGTCACTGCGCATCTGCTAGTAGCCCCACCTCAACAAACAATTATGGAGGATAAGTCAGAATTCTTGCTTCTTGGAAACAAATTTAAATTTCAGGCTTCAAATAAAATATTAAAATGCCCAGCTACGTATCTGCTGTTAAGAACTTTCTAGACAAAAAGTGTGCACCACGGAATACGCCTACTGACTTCCTGTGTGTATAAGGGGATGCTCCAAAAATGATAATAATTGAGTAATTTGGCTTAAAAAACAACAAATAGATACCACATTTTCCTTAGCTCTTCCTTAATGTTTGTTCACAGCCTAGTGGGAAGGCATTCTCTCAAACTAAAAATACAAAACTAGCAGAACTGAACCCCTCCTCATTCTCTTCTAATAAACCAGTGACACCAGTCCATTTTACGGCTGGCTGCTGCCTTCTCTAGGGCGAATTAGGGAACGGTCTGTTGAAAGATGAGACGGGCCACTCTTTTGTAACAGTTTGAAGTTTCCGCTCCCAGTACATTTTTTTTTTGTTGAGCAACTCCATCTTGATTCTGTGCTCCTCTTCCGCCATCTCGCACTCCCGCTCGATCTGCTGAATCTTGGCCACGTGGACCTCGTTCATCTGGATCAGCTGCAGTTGCAAGATGGACATTTGCTGATGGTGCTCTTCTTCGTGCATCTTCTTCAGATCGCTTTCCTGGGCAGCTTTACTTCTGAAATTTTTACTGCCTGTTATCCTGACTGCTGAACAGGAAGGCTCCGATTGCGAGGTTCCTTCGCATACCTGGAAATGTACAAGATCTTTGTCTTCATCGCACAGTTCTCTGTTTATAACGGTGAAAGGTTCTGGGGAAATAAAATAAAAAACATGACCATTATAATAATTTTCAATTTTTTTCCAACCCAAGAGCCAGTTTGGTGCGGTGGATATAGTGTTAAACATACATTGGGAGACTTGAAGCCCAAACTGACTCAGCTATCAATAATAATAATAATAATAATAATAATAATAATAATAATAATAATAATAATTTATTATTTGTACCCCGCCCATCTGGCTGGGTTTCCCCAGCCACTCTGGGCGGCTTCCAACAAAGATGAAGAATAAACTAAAATGTCACATATTAAAAACTTCCCTGAACAGGCTGCCCTTCAGATGTCTTCTGAATGTCAGGTAGTTGTTTATCGCTTTGACATCTGATGGGAGGGCGTTCCACAGGGCGGGCGCCACTACCGAGAAGGCCCTCTGCCTGGTTCCCTGTAACTTGGCCTCTCGCAGTGAGGGAACCACCAGAAGGCCCTCGGAACTGGACCTCAGTGTCCGGGCAGAACAATGGGGGAGGAGACGCTCCTTCAGATATACTGGACCGAGGCCGTTTAGGGCTTTAAAGGTCAGCACCAACACTTTGAATTGTGCTCGGAAACCAATGACTGGGTGGTTGCTACCTTCAGCTTAACCACTTTATAGAGCTGTTGCAGTGAGGATAAGCTAGGATAACCCCATGGGCTCCATCTTGACAGCCTTGGAGGAAAGATGGCGTATCAAATGTGATTTTTAAAAACGACAGTAAATTACTGCACGGCCAAGCTTGTGTCATCTTTCCCTGAAGCAGATTCAGGACACTGGACATTGTGACAGCACCAAACTACAAGCACTACCATTATAGGGTGGAAGAGGATAGGGCTTTCAGAGTTGAAGGCAGTCTGAAAGAGGAACGGCTGCCCTGGGTGTGTAGGCATCCCGCACTTCCTCTCTGGTGCACAGGTTGGGGTAAAAAGTGTTTGGCCGGAGAAAAAGACGAGGAAAAGGAAATTCAGCTCTCTTTAAAGCTCTACCTTTTGCCTCCACTGTCAAGGCTTTTCTCTGAGAGTAGCTCTATAGGGGCCTTCACAGTTAGGATGACACCATGTTGAACTTTGTAGAGTACCTCCAAGACACAGGAGGTTTGATATGATCTTCCACTTTCCTCAGAGGACTGGAGGCTGTCTGGGCCACATGCCCTTTGAAGGCCCTCAAGCACCTCAAAGCACAAGATTATCCCCTGCTCCAAAGTTCAGAGTGGGGGGCTTGAATTCAGCAGGCTTGAGAAAACAGGGAGGAATGCTCAGAGTGGCCTTCTTGGAATTCACCCGAGATGTCCTTTGAAGTGCTTGTACTGAAAGAAGCAGGCAGGGAAGAGAACAACAGAACTACAATTCATATCCTCCTGCTAAAAGGTCTCTTTCAACTCAAGGATTTATTTCGAGGCGCTATAACCCACAGCTGGGCAACCTGCGGCTCTTCACCTCCTTTCGTGCAGCCTTAAGGGATGTAGGAACAGATTGGGACAGAGCACAGGTAGGTTTTTTGAAAAAAAGGAAGATGACAGCATTGGCCAGAGCACAGATTTCACTCTTTTCACTGAGCTCACCTGCTCCAGTCCATCTTAAGTAGCTTGCCTTACAGAAAAGGAGGAGGTTTACTGTCCTTGAGACAGGAGCTGTTTTTGTATGCAAAGCTTTGCAAAAAGTTTCTCAACTTGCAAAAAAAGGGGGGGGTGTCAGAAGCATGAGGGAATGGAGAAGTTGTGGGTAAAAAATCCTTTCAAGAAGTGCTGAACTGCACCGAGGGAGCAAGGGTTGGGGTGTAGAGGACAGAATATTTTTCTCATCATACTTATTGCAACGTTGCTGGAGGAGAAGCAAAGCGAAACAGATTCTGAGGGTAAGAAACAGGTAGAAAACATAAAGAGTGGTGTGTTGTAATTAAGAAGAGCAAGGATTTTGACAGGGGAGAAACAGAGCTGAGGTTATTTTTGCTTTCCACCTTCCTTCCTTCCCTCTGAAACTCCAGAACATTGAACCAATGCCAGTATTAGAAATCTCCAAGTGTAATTTGCTTTTTTGCTCGGGACAGCTGTGCCCCGCCCCCATCCCTTGTCCTGGCTATGTGAATGCTCTGTGGAAGGGTGTGTGACAGGTGTGGATCCTCTTTGATGGCGCTTTGCATTCCTGTGCCTGTTTGGGCTGCACACTCATGTCTGCAACAAATGCTTTGATGTTTCTGTTGGAGTGCGGTACTTTGGCATCAGTGATGCATGAGTACGAGGGGTCGTGAGGGGTCCCAATCCCTGTGTGACTGAGGCGCCACTGTGTCCACGTGTGTTACTTAACGGTGTCCGCCTAGGGTGTGTGCTTTTCTTGTGTAGGGTCATGCATGTGGTGGGCAGAGCAGCGGTCCTTGCTGGGAGCTGTGTGAAGATTGGCTGATGCACAAAGGTTGCTAGGGGCACCTACACATTGCAGCTTCTGCTGCGTTCATGGCCAAGCCCAGTGACTGTTCCACTGGTGGGTTGACTGATATCCATACTTTGCACTGCGTTGCTGGTTGGCAGCTTTGCCTGTGTGCCAGCCACAGTGGCTCCTTGTGGACTTGCATGAATGGGAGTGAATGAGAGAATTAAGGGATGGTGTGTGAATGGGACAGAAAAGGAGCGGCTCTGCCCTGCCCAGGCTTTGGTCCTGCCACTGGTTTGTGGCTTCTGACCATGTTCCTCTGAGGAAATGTGGTTGTTGACCACACAGGGTTACTCTCTGCTGCTCTAACCTGTGGGCCTCCCACAAATGGATACAAGCATGTTTTTGATGTGCTAACTAAGATATAAACAGTTTGAATGGTAGGTATTATTTTCATGGCTGTACTGGAACAAAATGCAGTGGTCTTCAATGTTCTTACACCCAACCTAATTGCAACCTGAGGCTCACATATAAACTCACATTTATGAAGGTTAATCTGAATTTATAGTCAAACATCTCAAAATGGCTTAAATATAAAATCATGATAAAGTGAACTTATTAAAACTAATTATTCCAAATAATTAGAAATGCATGCACACATATACCAGGCATGGGGTCAAATGGTAAGTTATAGGTTGTTGTTTTTTTAAAAAAAGATTAATGTCTCATTCTCTTATTCCCCCCTATCATTCACCTTTTTCTCCTCTTCAGGAGAAAATTAGTGCTGCTGTGACAAACCTGAGGGAAAGGGCATGATCCTATCAAGTGTCATGACTCACCAGTTAAATCCATATAGATTGTGTTCATTTACTTATACTGGAAAAATCATAGCACCACAAGAGGTATCACCAGGTGAGCAAACTGCAAATTTTCTATCTACTTTTGGAATGTAAAGCTACAAGAATAGTTTACTGTAGATGACTAGAAAAGAACTGTACCTTGACTGGAGGCTTCTGGCTGATATTCAGAATCCTCTTCTGGTGGACTCTGTAAGAAGTACACCTGCTCAGGTACCATGCTGGCAATCTTCTCTTTTCCCAGGATGTGATTACTTAGAAGTGGACTAATGCTCCTTTTTACCTTGTCTCGCCTTTCATGTGCCATTATTTTCTTTGTCCGTGCTTTGATGTTCTCCCAGCATTTTTTCAGCTGCTTGAAATCTCGTAGCGATACACTTGGTTGAGAATTATATTCATGAGCAAGGGCCTGCCAGGTCCGTTGTTTCAGTGCAATAGTCCTTGCATCACTTTTTTTACACTCAAGTACATATTTGTATTTCTCAACTAATGCCAGCAACACACTCTTCTCCACTTCAGAGAAGTATTTGGCAGGTTTTATCACTTCGCTGTTTTGCATTTTCTTCTGATTCTCCAGAGTGCCAAAATAACCTATAAAAAACAACGGACAGCTTACTTTTGCAAGCATGGTTGATTTCACAGCAAATAACATTCTGCTCAGAAAACGTTCCTTTTCGTCACAAAAAAAGTTAGAATATTACACCGTCATCAGTCAGTCAGTCAACACAATCACCAATAGTAGAGTTCAGGACAAACAAAAGTGCTACTTCACACAATTCAGAATTCCCTACTACGCAGTGTTCAAAATTAGCCAGGCACCAGGCGCATTTTGCACCTGGGACACGGGTGGCGCTGTGGGTAAAAGCCTCAGCGCCTAGGGCTTGCCGATTGAAAGGTCTGCGGTTCGAATCCCCGTGGCGGGGTGCGCTCCCGTTGCTCGGTCCCAGCGCCTGCCAACCTAGCAGTTCGAAAGCACCCCCGGGTGCAAGTAGATAAATAGGGACCGCTTACTAGCGGGAAGGTAAACGGCGTTTCCGTGTGCGGCTCTGGCTCGCCAGAGCAGCGATGTCACGCTGGCCACGTGACCCGGAAGTGTCTGTGGACAGCGCTGGCCCCCGGGCGCACAACCCTAGAGTCTGTCAAGACTGGCCCGTACGGGCAGGGGTACCTTTACCTTTTTATCAGCCACTTGCGACCAAGGGAAGAGGCCTGGGCGCCAGGGGAGGTGCATGCGTGGGGATCATTGGGTCTTGACTGTTTTCACACACGATTACCGCATCTTACAGAATTCTATCAGTTACATTTTGTCTGCACAACCAGAATGAATTTCAGGAACCAAAATGCCTTTTTTCTGTGCAGCTGGAGCAGGAGCAGTGAACAATGTTATAGTTAATTGTTGCTTCAGTTACCCCACCCCACTGCCCTGCTCACAGTTGTGAAGAATATTCTTATGTTATGAATGGTCCAGGTCACCATGAAGAAAAAGAGGTCAGAATAGGCCTATATATATCTGTGGGCTGTCCCTGGATAAAGTGACTTTTCTTCTCTAAGTTCTCAAAGTGCTTAACCTAGCTCAAGGTTGTCATCCGAACAAGTCAAATGTTTAGCTGATAATCAAACACAGTCAGTTCATCATTTGAAAAATAAGACTTTAGAGCCATCTTGCTCCCAAATGACAACTAGACATTCTGTTTGGGCAACTGTAACCAGGGGTGCCAACTGGAATAAAATATTGGGGGGGGGGAGCCCAAGTAAGCCCTGCGCTGCAAAATCGATCACAAGACACAGTGCATGGACACCATTTGAATGGCAATGCCCAGTGCTATTTTTCTAGAAAAAGAGGTGCTGGAATTCAACATGAACACTTCCCTTGTTCTCTTAAAATGGCAATGGGGGGGCAGCCCCCTCAAATATTTTATTAGGATCTGGGGGAGCTGGCTGTAACCTTGGTTTAAGGAGCCTTTTGGCGCCTAGCTTATATACAGTGGTGCCTCGCAAGACGAAAATAATCCGTTCCGCGATTCTCTTCGTCTAGCGTTTTTTTCGTCTTGCGAAGCAACCCCATTAGCGGCTAAGCGGATTAGCGCTATTAGCGGTTTAGCGGCTATTAAAGGCTTAGTGGCTTAGCTGCTAAAAGGCTATTAGCGGCTTAGAAAAAGGGGGGGGGAGCGAAAAAAAATGGCGAGACTCGCAAGACGTTTTCGTCTTGCGAAGCAAGCCCATAGGGAAATTCGTCTTGCGAAGCGCATCACAAACGGAAAACCCTTTCGTCTAGCGGGTTTTCCGTCTTGCGAGGCATTCGTCTTGCGGGGCACCACTGTATCTGAGTTTCTAACAGCGATAGCCCCTCAAAGCCACTACGTTAGATGGCTTGAAAAAAAGAGCAAGAGCTATCATTTCCTACTCGTTACCATGACAGCTAATTGGAACACCCCTGTGTAGGGGCAGCATACCTCTAGGTCCAGGTGCCAGAACCAAACAGCAAAGGTTGGGCATCATCTTCATACTCTAGTTTATCCAATTAGTTATCCATATTGATAGCAGAGTGGCTATCGGGATGGCTTTAGAGGGCTGAGGGATGCAAGACCTGATAGGGTGGGGTGCTAACACGTTGTCATTGACCATAAAGAATGGAGATATGGAATGTAAATGTGATTTGGTAAATGGAATATGGTTTTTTGAATTCAGAATGACGGATAATGGGTCTCTGCTTTTTGCTGGAGTCCAGCCCATGTGGGAATTATTGGTAATGAGATGGCAGAAAGGATAAGCTTTGTGAATTTTGTGGGGTGGATGTAACAGCTGACTATGTAGCATAGGATGGTTTGAGATACAGGGATGAAATGGAACCTCCCCCTCACAAACTGAGTAACTTTGGGAATCGCTTTGGGGTTTGGTTTAACAATTATAACGTGAGTAACAACATTATAGCCCGTAGGTAGCAATAATAGGGTTTCTTCTCTTGCTTTGCAGCACCAATAAAATCAAAGAAGAACAATACAGTGGTACCTCGGGTTACATACGCTTCAGGTTACAGACTCTGCTAACCCAGAAATAGTGCTTCAGGTTAAAAACTTTGCTTCAGGATGAGAACAGAAATCGTGCTCTGGCGGTGCGGCGGCAGCAGGAGGCCCCATTAGCTAAAGTGGTGCTTCAGCTTAAGAACAGTTTCAGGTTAAGTTCGGACCTCCGGAACGAATTAAGTACTTAACCCGAGGTACCACTGTACAGGTATCCAGCTTCTTGACTAGATTGTTGCTCCTGTGCCGCAGATCCACGGTAGATCCATGGATCAAGGCGTATCACTGCCAAAACTCTCTGCTAAGATCTTGGGAGCACACAATTGCAGTTTCAACTTCTCTCCAACAAACATACCTTAAAACCAGTCCATTATAACTCTAGGCCAAATATTCTTGTGAAGCAGGAATGGTTAACTGCAAGGATGCCTACCTTTCAAGTCCACAGGGTCCTGACTTTCCTCCCCAGAAGAAGAAGTCTTGAACATAATGATTAATAAAAGACAGGAAATTTCATTGTAAGCATCTCTCTCTCTCTCTCAACACTTAATTATGTATCCTGTTAACCCCTCAAATATTGCCCCACACTCAAAAACATGAAGGGAGTGGGGGATCATCCTAAATTGCATTGTGCTTTTCCCATGTGCATATTCAGCAAAAGAAGCAATTCCCTGCATTAATAAGGATAATTGACAATACATTTCAGTTTATAGGTTGATCTGTATGCATGTTTACTTCCCTATATGTTACCTCAGAGTAAACATGTGTAGATCAGCCTTACTGAAGCTAAGCAGGCCTGGCTCTGGTAAGTGCCTAGACATGGCAAACATTGCTGTGGCTTAAAATTCAAGATGAATTTTAACAGGGAGAAATGTAAAGTATTGCACTTGGGCAAAAAAATGAGAGGCACAAATACAAGATGGGTGACACCTGGCTTGAGAGCAGTACATGTGAAAAGGATCTAGGAGTCTTGGTTGACCACAAACTTGACATGAGCCAACAGTGTGACGCGGCAGCTAAAAAAGCCAATGCAATTCTGGGCCTCATCAATAGGAGTATAGCATCTAGATCAAGGGAAGTAATAGTGCCACTGTATTCTGCTCTGGTCAGACCTCACCTGGAGTACTGTGTCCAGTTCTGGGCACCACAGTTCAAGAAGGACACTGACAAACTGGAACGTGTCCAGAGGAGGGCAACCAAAATGGTCAAAGGCCTGGAAATGATGCCTTATGAGGAACGGCTAAGGGAGCTGGGCATGTTTAGCCTGGAGAAGAGGAGGTTAAGGGGTGATATGATAGCCATGTTCAAATATATAAAAGGATGTCACATAGAGGAGGGAGAAAGGTTGTTTTCTGCTGCTCCAGAGAAGCGGACACGGAGCAATGGATCCAAACTACAAGAAAGAAGATTCCACCTAAACATTAGCAAGAACTTCCTGACAGTAAGAGCTGTTCGACAGTGGAATTTGCTGCCAAGGAGTGTGGTGGAGTCTCCTTCTTTGGAGGTCTTTAAGCAGAGGCTTGACAACCATATGTCAGGAGTGCTCTGATGGTGTTTCCTGCTTGGCAGGGGGTTGGACTCGATGGCCCTTGTGGTCTCTTCCAACTCTATGATTCTATGATTCTGTGACACAAGAAGGTCTGGAGGTAAACACAGGAATGTAAACGTACAAATGACTTCTTGAAGACGCCATGGAAGGCCACAGAATTTATCGAGGGATAAGTGCAAGCTCTTCTTCCACAACAACCCCAAGATGAACAGAGATGGGAAAACCTATGGTCCGCCAGGTGTTGGTGAACTGCAGCTCCCATCAGCTTCCGCCAGTAAGATCAATGGCAAGGGATTGTGGGAGCTGTAGTCCAGCAATATCTGCAGCGCTACAGGTCCCTCATCTTCCCTGCACTTGGGGGTTAGCCAGGCTCCAGAGGTGTTTTTGAGATCCCTTCATTTGAAATGGTGAAAGCTGGCAGTGGGGAGATGTATATCCCATAAACACTCCTTTGGTATTCCTTCATCAGGATTTTACACAGGGAAGCAACTGAAACAGCCACAGTGGTCTGCAATATTCTCAATCTTAATTCTAAATCTTTACAAACGCTGCTACCAATATTAGATGTCAGAATGCCTCATCTAGCCCAACTTCTTAAATCAAAAATCCTTAAAAAGCGCAATGCTATCCACGTTTCCCCATGATCCGGGGGTTTCGCCCCCAGACAAGGGTGTAGATAGAGGACTGCAGCCCTGCACACACTTTGCCCGAGAGCAGACTTACTCCTGAGTAGACGCAGGCAGGGCTGCACAAGTTACACACGACGATGTTGCGCCGCAAGGACCGGGTGGGGAACAAAATGACCATCTGTGGCCCAGCGAGCCTTTCCCCGCAGCAGAGAAATACAAATTTCCTCAACCTGTTACACATCTGGCAAGGTATCCTGGCCGCTTTTCTGGGGCAAAGAGGTTGCAGAGAGACGGGGTAGCATTTCCCTTAGAAATAAACACCATTTTACATATGCATTTTAAAGACACGCACACGCACAATTACCAGGCTTGGGTGGAGCACGGCCTCCTCAGGCTTCCTTCCCCTTCTTGCTTTTTCCCTGGATGCTGCCGGGTTTTTCCTCTCTTATTTTGGAGAACAGGAAAGCACAGATCCCAGCCTGACAAAGGACGCCCCGCCACCCACGGAATGCGCAGCGGCGGCTGCAGGTTTGCAAATGCAGGCGCGCAAGCGGCGCTTCAGACAATAACGAGCAGCGCTCATCTTGCCGCTTGCCGCTGCCCCGGCGGAGGGGAGAGAGATAATCCCCGTAACGTGTGAATATATACGGGATCGGCCTCAAATCCCAAAGGGCAGCGCAACAGCCCCTGCTCTTAACAAAAGCCCCACCATTAATTGCCAATCTCCCTCTCCCTCCTCTCTCCTTCTCCGCGGCTGGGTTTAGAGAAGGCGGGATCCGCTTCGCTTCCACCTTCCTCCCCTTCTTCCCCGACCACTAAACCACTCCCTCCTGCTCTTCCCAAGTTCCGACGCGGGTCTCAACGCGGCGGCCACCAAGCGAAGCCAGCGCCCCGGGTGGAAACGTTGCAATCCCATCATTTCGCGCTCGGGGCACGAAGCAAAGGCGAGAACAAATGTGTGCATGCGTGTTATGCATGTATGCATGCGAAAACTGACAACAAGCGCTGCTTTTTCTCGCCGCCCCGCTGCACTAAAGACAGAAGGCTTCCTTCCTTCTTCTTTTTGCAAGACTCGTAGCAGAGAGTGACCCAATGGAGCCGCTCCCGCTTCTCTCTGGGAATCCAGTCCGGGTTTTCCCACCCGACAGCGCCGCCGCGGCTCCGGCCGGGAAAAGTGGGTGGGGCGCGCACTGCGCATGCGCACTGTCACTTGCGTGGCGACAGCCGAAGAGGAAGGTTGTCGGCGGCGGGCTCTGTGAGTAGCTCGAAGGAGGCGAGGCGGGTCGGTGGCCCGGGGGTCGCCTTCGCGAGGGGCTCGCCTGCGGAGGGCCTGCCTTTGGCGGCGGGAGAAGAGTGCGGAACGGCTGTTGCTGGTGTTGTGTTGTGTATACTCCGCCTTTCCCCCCCTGACAGGGACTCGAGGCGGCGCACGGAGGGAAGTAAGAACCGTTTCCTCCTCCGGATATGGACGGGACTTCAATTCCCATCACCTCTGAGCGTTGGCTGTGCTGGCTGGGGACTGGTGGGAGTTGGAGTTTAGCTCTCTACCTGGAGGGGTAGGGGATGGGCGGGGAGAGTTTAGCAATCCGCTTCACCCCTGGAGGCACACTCCATTGTCTCTCGACGGATGCCAACAGCAGCAACAATCTGTTGAGTGGGGACCTCCCAAACTACAACTCCCATCAGTCCCCACTCAACAGATTGTTGCTGTTGTTGGCATATAGATACGTCTCTCTGGAGAGCCGTGGGATTCCCCAACCCTGATTTCTGCTCCATTTCCTGTTTCCTACATTTGCTGGCTTCTGCAGAGTATTTTGCTTCCTTGCTTAATTATTTACTTATTCTTTTTTTGCAATTGCACTTGATGTAATGCCCCCGTTCCCCGCAGTGAGCTCAAGGTGTCTGCCTTCCCTTCTCATGCGATCCTCACTACAACCCTGTGAAGGTTGGTCAGGTTGAGAGTTGGTGTCCAGCACGAGGCTGCCCAAGTGGGGCTTTGTCTTAACGTCCTACTTGGACACCCTCAAACCAGACTTCACCAACCTGGTGCCCTCCAGATGTTTTGGATTACACCTCCCATCAGCCGTTACCAACAACTGGCTAGGACTGGTTTTTATTTATTTACTGCACTTCTATACCACCTTTTCTCCAAGGAGCTCAAGGTGGTGCACATAGTTCTTCTCCTGGCCCTTTTTATCCTCACAACAACACTGTGAGGTAGGTTAGGCTGAGAGTGTGTGACTGGCCCAAGGTCACCCAGTGAGATTCATGGTTGAATATCAATCAATCAATCAATCAATCAATCAATCTTTATTACGGTCCAGAGATCCAACAAATCATTACAAAGCAATGCACAATTCAGACAGCCTTCCTCCAGGTTAAACAAACATTTTGTTCAGACTTAAAGATAGGGATCATTGGTTCTTGCAACCACCGATAAAAACTTCGCCACTGCTAATGTTCTGGCGCTTGTCCGGTCTTCCAATAGGAACCTGACATAGTGAGCCTCTGGTTTTCCCGGGAAAGGTACCAGCAAGGGTAATATCAGTTCAGCCCTGGCTTGCTCGTATTTCGCACAGTGCAGCAAAATATGTTTTATTGTTTGGTCACTATGTCAGGTTCCTATTGGAAGACCGGACAAATGCTAGAACATTAGCAGTGGCAAATTTTTATCAGTGGTTGCAAGAACCTGTGATCCCTATATTCTGAACAAAATGCTTGTTTAACCTGGAGGTAGGCTGTATGAATTGTGTATTGCTTTGTAACAATTTGTTGGGTCTCTGGACCGTAATAAAGATTGTTGTTGTTGTTGTTGTTGTTTTATAGAATCTATGTCTTGGGCACACGAGCAAAGTCTGTCCTGGTAGAGGACTCCTCTCCACCTGCCAGAAGGAAATACTGCAGAAGGAAAGACGTTTAGTCTGGCTTTGGTGAAAAGCCTTCAATAGTTTGGTACAGTCAGGTTTTTAACGTAAGATGTTAACTTAAAGACATGCCCATATTGTACTCCTACTGCCAGCGGACTACAGACTGCGTGTGATCGAGATCGCAAGTCACTGTGTGTATTATCCCATAATCTTTGCTTTAACGTCTTTAGGGCACCTTCATAACCCAGGTAATAAAGTGGGGGGGGGGTGACAGACCAATAGAGGTGGCTTTTCTAGCCATGGTTTTCTGCCATTTGTTGACAAACTCCTCATTGGTCAGGTGTTGATACAAACCCTCATGGTGGAATAAGCATTAGAACCCTGGGTTCCCATATCACAGCCTGACACTCTAACCCAGGTGTAGTCAACCTTTTTATACCTACCACCCACTAATGCAGGGGTCAGCGACCCGCGGCTCCGGAGCCGCACGTGGCTCTTTTACACCTTTGCCGCGGCTCCGGGGCGGATACTAGCGAGGGGAGGAGGTGCATTGTGCGCCCCGACACTCCCCACTGTGGCGGGCGCTGTACTGGCTGTGACGTCGCATGGGGGCGGTGCATGCGTTAGTCACGCACCGTCCCGACGTCACCTTCCCGCCCACCCGCCCGCTACATTGTTATGGGCATGTACGCTGGTCACTGCATTGAAAGGGGGCATGTACGCTGGTCGCTGTTTTGAAGGGGAGTGAAGAATACACACACACAAAAAGGTAACTTGTTAATTTAACGTTTATTTCTATGAGGAGGAGTAATTCTGAGGGGTCAAACAAAGAAATAATTTTAAAAAGTGACAAAAAAGTTATTTTTATAATGACGAGTTTTGCGGCTCCCAGTTTTTTTCCCTTCGGAAACGGGTCCAAGTGGCTCTTTTTGTCTTAAAGGTTGCAGACCCCTGCACTAATGCATCTTTCTTGATGGTAAAATTTCATTACCGCCCACCAGTGCTCGATGGAAGGAGGATTCAGCTTGTGCCATAGAAGAAGAGGAGTTTGGACTTGATATCCTGCTTTATCACTACCCTAGGAGTCTCAAAGCGGCTAACATTCTTCTTTCCCTTCCTCCCCCACAACAAACACTCTGTGAGGTGAGTGAGGCTGAGAGACTTCAAAGACGTGTGACTGGCCCAAGGTCACCCAGCAGCTGCATGTGGAGGAGCGGAGACGCGAACCCGGTTCACCAGATTACGAGTCTATCGCTCTTAACCACTACACCACACTGGCTCTCAAAACTGGCTCTCCCTGGAGGGCATCAGGTTGGCCAAGGCTGCTTTAGCCCATGCTGTGCTCTAACCATTAGTCTCCCGCTTTCACTGTTGTTTATCTCCAGTATCTGGTATTCAGAGGAATATTGAACAGGAGGCTCCAACATAGAGGCTTATAACTGTTTATTGTTCTGTCTGTCTTCAGTATAAAGATGCACAAAAATGTGGCTAATTAATATTAGTAATAGTGGTAGTAATAATAATAATAACAATAATGTATTGCTTATGGGTGATGAGCTGAAGAGGCCCTCATAATTTTTCACTTTCAGCCCCTAGACCTCAGCAAAAATAAACATTACTGGGGCCATGGACACACTTGGAAATTTGAGAAAATATCCTAGCTAACAAAAAATTACTGCCATGTTGGGACCACCATCCAGCTCCCCCAAAGCAATTCCTGTTGGTTTAACTCCCAGGCTAACCACTAGACCGCACTGTCTCTCCACTTGGACTGGAGCATTCTGGTGCTATGTTGCTAAACTTGGCAGACAATGTGATCTAGTGATTTGATCCTTGGGCTGCTTAAACACATCACTTCCATCTTGGAGGGAGCTGGGGGTAAATCATGGTCCCACAGCAGTTTTCTACTCAGGTTAACTTGGCTGTAATGCCAGAAGGGTATTATAAGGAAGCCCTGTATAGGGAAGTTTTTAATGTTTGATGTCTTGCTGTGTTTGATGTTTTCATTTGCTGGAAGCCGCTCAGATGATGGATATTATTACTATTATTACTGCCATAATTTGAACATATTTTGTCAAAATAAAGACATTTTTCATATATTCTTTAGTTGTCATGTGTGGATTTCTTAACTCTTGACTCCTTTATTATGGAAAATGAAAATCAAGATACCTCAACTTACATGCCGTACAATGTCACTCCTTACTACTGTAATGTAAGTATTGTGTCTCATGCTATTGAAAGATCTATGAATGATTTTTAGGTATACCTGAAAGGATGCTGGAGGATGCTCTCCATTAGATAACGCTATCTCTTGACGACAGTACACTGAATTTCCTGGAGAGAGGGATTGACTCTTAAAGTCTGTAATGTAGATGTGTTCTGGTAGTGTCTTCATTGAAATCTGGCATCCTCTTATAAAACAGTCCAGTTATAATCCTGAAGAATGACATCCACCAGAATCACAAACTGGACTGATCCGTTCCGGGGAGGGAGGGGGGCAAGCTGGAATGTGGGGGAACTCTTTGTAATTGTGTTTATACACTGAAAATCAATAAAGCTCCATATTAAAAAAAGAAAAGAACATGTGAAGAGTCACTGGCCCATCTTGTCCAGCATCCTATTCTTACAATGGCCAAGCAGATGACTGTGGGAAAGATGAAAGCAGCACAAAGCATTCTCTTTTACAGTTTCCAGCAACTGGTATTCAGAAACCTACTGCCTCTATCTGTGGAAGCAGGCTAGTAGCCATGAATTTGTCTGTTGTTGTTTAGTCGTTTAGTCGTGTCTGACTCTTCATGACCCCATGGACCAGAGCACGCCAGGCACCTCTGTCCTCCACTACCTCCCGCAGTTTGGTCAAACTCATGCTGGTAACCTCGAAAACACTATCCAACCATCTCGTCCTCTGTCGCCCCCTTCTCCTTGTGCCCTCCATCTTTCCCAGCATCAGTGTCTTCTCCAGGGAGTCTTCTCTTCTCATGAGGTGGCCAAAGTACTGGAGCCTCAGCTTCACGATCTGTCCTTCCAGTGAGCACTCAGGGCTGATTTCCTTTAGAATGGATGCGTTTGATCTTCTTGCAGTCCATGGGACTCTCAAGAGTCTCCTCCAGCACCATAATTCAAAAGCATCAATTCTTCGGCGATCAGCCTTCTTTATGGTCCAGCTCTCGCTTCCATACATCACTACTGGGAAAACCATGGCTTTAACTATATGGACCT